TTTGATTTTGACTGTAACTTCTGAAAGTACAGTTCCCAATTTGTGTGATGTCACGATGAGTACTCTTTATTGCAAATCAGATAATTCAGCCCAGTAGTAGTAGATGAAACTTTGAAGTGAAAGAACAATCAAAAAAATAAAGAATACTCATAAGAATCAAATGACAAATAATCTTAAGTGATAATGAAACAAAGAATAATCTCAATACCAACTTGTTATAACAATAACTCAATCGAAGAAACTAAACAGCGATGATATTGATGTGACGACAACAGAAATTGAGAAACAGAACAAACTATACACCAACACAGGTTTTAGTTCACAACGATACTGTCAGAAAAGATAAACAGAAAACTAAAAACACCAACGAATTAAGCTCCTTAATTTTCTTGTTTCTTCCTCCTCCTGAATTGGTGTAGTTGACTGATTTCGGTCTGGTTGATTTAAACACAATCGACAATGAGTTTCTTGATTAGTTATCCTTGAACAATTGATTGAGTACCTTCTTCCTTCTACTCGTTTGCTCTTGAAGATTTGGATTCTTGAAGTCTTCTATTCTTGATGAGATCGAGTAAATGAAAAAATAGACCAGAAGAAACTTGACGGAACAAAAACTCCAGCGAGACCACACAGAACTTTCCGGCACGATTACATAACCACACCACCCAACACCTTGAATTTCCAATTTAACCTTGAATCACACCTGTGTATTACTCTCACGTGAACTTCTACATCTCATGAGCTAATTATTTCTCAACAATTTGGCGGTTGGTGAGACTGTTTGATGGGATTTCTTATCCACAAGGTATCTTTTGAATCAATTGATGATGTATGTCTCCTAGTGACAGTATCTGCAGGTTTTTCTTTGTTTGATCAATGAAGATTTTTTGCAACATCTTTTTCCTGGCCCCCTAATTTCCGGTCCCCCTAGCATGTGGGAGTCGCTCCTCCCATTCCCACTGAGGGAATGGAAGTCGGATCTCAAAGAAACAAAATACAAATAAACAAATAAAACCCCCGCAAGGGTTGGCAGTCAATGGGCCAAACCTTCTGGGGGGATGGCAGTTAGCCCTGCCTACAAGCCTCAAGGGCCAGAAGGAAACCTCCCAGCCATTGAGCATTCACCCATCTTCACTCATTCGAGCAGTTCCTCCTTCATCAACTGGAAGAAAGTTTTTTGGAAATGAAAAAAGAAACGAGCTCAAAACTCAAGAACCTTTGGCTGAAGCAACAAAATGGACAACTCAGGGAATCAGAATAACCAACTTGAAACCAAATGGCAACTCAATAAATACATAAATTGTAGATAGATCAAGCAAAGAAGCTTATGCATACGGTCTACATGAGTACAGCCATACCAAAATCAAAGAAACCATAAGAACAATATCTGTGTTAACCCATGATAATCATGGCTTAATATACAGCTTCATTCCTTAACCCATGAATCATGGCCTAATACAGATCTCGCCCCTAAGCCATGATTCTATTACCCCATACCAAAACCTTTCTCCCAAGGGGTATGGGTTATCTCAGAGTCAACTGTATAACTAAAAGAATAGGCTCAGAGAAGGACCCAGGCAAGCGCTCCAAAATGTGGGTGATGTAGACCCAGATGAACAAACCCCCAACTTGACTTTCAACCATACATGTATGGTGTTGCAAGCCCGTCTGGGCACACACCAAACCTCAGCCAAAAACAGGCCAAGCGCGCTGGGCAGATCTTAAAGCACGCTTGGCCAACTGTAAAGCCCACATGGCACGCTCCCAGCCCCCGCTTGGCCATGTCAAAGCTGGCGGGGGTCGGAGCAAAGCCTCGCTTGACCAAAATCAAGCGAGGGTGCCACGCCCGCCAAAATGCCGGCCATCAAGAAGGAATCCCTTCTTGATGACCGGCTCACTACTAGTCAATCACTCTGCTTGATGACCGATGACCGTCGCTGTACCATCATTGGTTGATTCTGTCCGTATACCAAGCGCCAAGACGGGTATCTCCCGTCCTGGGCGACTGGGTTTGTACGGGTTTTTGAGAGGGAGGGGAGCGCCTGAGCCACTAATTGGCCCAGCGGGACTTGGCTGAATGCCTAGTCCCCACCCCCGCCAAGCGGGACTTGGGTTTGTGCCCAGACGCGCTTGCAACACCACAATTGGGACCATTCCAACATGAGGACATGTACAAGGAAAATGTGCATCTTGTACTTGTGTTCATTAGCCGTGAAGTTGTGAAATTCATACATTTTTTTTTCCAGTTTTTGGCTTCTCAAGGGTCACTGGTGCAACTTCACAACTAATGACTACATGTTCAAGATGCACCTTTTCCTTGTACATGTCCTGATGTGAAAACCATCCCAATTCGATGGATTGTTGAAAGTCAAGTCGGATTTTTGTTTGTCTGGGTCTACATCACCCACATATTTGGGGGGTTTCCAGGCTTTTCCAGGGTCCTCTCAGAGAGCCAAACAAAGTGCCATGCAATCCAACACCATTGTCAACCTCCAATTCACATCTGTTGCTTTTGTTGACGCCGGCCTTAGACCAAGACAGACAGATGTGCAACTCAAGAAAGACCCAATACAGGTCATCAAGTAAACACCCAATTAAAAAAATTGGGGCAAATAAAATTACCAACCAAGACTCCCCAAAAATGGGGGCATGTACTAGTGAATGTATAATAAAGCACTCGGAAATCGCCCTCCCAAATGAGGTTTGTGTCGAGGTGAAGAACATCTGGTTTGGGGCATTCATGCACCGCGCTCACAAACACCTTGGATATGACGAGGAGGACTACGAGCACTAGCGCAGTAATCATCGCCCAGGAGCGTTTCATGATGGGAATGTTGGTCTGCTTTGTGTGGGTATTGATCCCAAGCCGCTAATAGTATGATGGGTGTTTGATCCAGAACATCAGGCGGGGAATGACAAGCTTGTACGTATGTATATTGCCGTTGCGCCAGTGGGGCAGGACACAATATCCCCCTTGGGCAAGTATTTATACAGGCCAAAATCAAACATGAAGTCACTTGCTGCTTCAATCAAGTTGGTGGACATTGAATTTACCTCATTTGCGTGACTCCGATGGGCCGGGAGACCCTACCAATAAGTGTTAATTGTCAAAAGGCCAACTAGATCAATTTACAAGATAGAAACCAAACACTCTTTTCCTTTCACTGATACATCCTTAGGAAGAAAAACGACAATAATGAAGAGATTAAGGAGTTGACTGAAAGTAGGAAGCAGGGAATTTAAAGCAGCTCAAGGAAACCAAGTCAGCGATCCTATGGATAGGGAACTCGATCTGACTTTGATTCTTAGTAGCCTCAGAGGAGGAAGGATAGGATTGAAGGAGACGGATGAGGAAGTCCCTCTTGATCCGCTCGCTATCAGACCCAGAGGCCAGTTCGATCCATGTCGCATAATTCAATATCATTCCGTTCATCGGCCCGTTGGCCCGCAACCATTGGTCTCTGCTCTGCGGCCTCTGGTGAACGGCTTCCTTGGCTCCTTCGGAGTCATCATCGATGGCCGGTACTCCCGGGATTGGAGTCAGTTTTTCCATCAAGGCTTGCATGATTGAGAAGCCCTAGAAGAACAAAAACCGCAATGAAAAATTCACGCCTTTTCCCCGGCCACAGGATGTTTCTTTAGAGGTAGAGAATTTTACGAACTTGGGATAGGTTTCCGGAGTACAAAAGGGCGATAGCAAGGTTATTGAGGAGGTTGAAATCTGGCGGATCTTCGTTAGCGAGAGAGGCTTGTGCAAGGGGGAGGAAGCGGGCGGGAACGTCAACAAACTGGCCGGCGAAGATGGCACGAACGAGGGAAAGTGGATGGGTAGGCTCAAGCTTCTCGAGCAGTTTGTCTGCCCGGTCCAGCGCACCCAGCTCGAGCCAAAGCTTCGTCTCCATCTCCACCCACTTCTGGGCCTCTCCCCCCACCTCCCCCTCGTCCTCCTTCGCTAGACTCTGCACCAGCCCCAACGATATCAGTCGGTCTGGTACATACACCCGACCCCCTCCTCGTGTCCCGTCTGAAATCCCATCCGGTTGGAACCCATGCCCCGCAAATAAGGACGCTAGCAACCCCATAATCTCTTTGATCCTCATCCTCCAAAGCTCTTTCTGCGATCTTTTCTCCTCGGAACTAGAAAGATCAGCACAGGGGAAAAAATGCATTTTTGAAAATGCTTTTCCGGACACTCTCTCCTTGAGATTAAAAAAATGACTACTGACTCTTGGGAGTAATGATCATAATAATCAATCATCCGTTTACAACCTTCGAGTAGCTCGAACAAACCGTCGGAAGTTTTGATGACAGGTAAGTGCTGATGAGGGGCGAGAAGGACGGGCAAGCGAGCGCGAAGAACGAGGATAGAGAAAGGGATGATATCCGGGAGGGCTTTCTTGGGGTTTGGAAGTGCAGTATTCTGGGCGGAGCAGGCCACGGTTGCGGGGCTGAGGTCGAGCAGGATCTCAGTCAGAGGAAGCGTCTGGCCGATTGTCGAGAACAGGCCGAGCATCTCACGGGCTATTAAGCGTGGCTGACGGAGCTGATAGAGCGCCAGGAATCGGTACGACCAAGCCTATATACACGCCCACAATTGGTCATTAGAAGGGCGGGGTTGCAGACCAGAACTGGAAGGGCTGGGTGGACACTTTACTTGGAGGATCGAGCCAGTGTGGGATGGGTCCAAGCCGATGATCTGCTGTCGCGAAAGCATGGCCAAGGCTCTCCATGAGCAAGATTCCTGTGGGACAGAGGATGCGAGCGTCAGTGTCTCAACCAGACTGATATCTCTCGGGATTCAAACACCTACGGCCAGCTGGGCGGCAGAAGAGGAGGAGGAAGAGGATCGGGAGTGTTGGTCGAGTTGTTCCTTGTAGATTTGGTGGGCTAGGTCTTGGGGAACCAGACGTTGGAAGCCATTGAGCTACATAGCATCTCACATATATTCAAAATCAGTCAGAGATCTTCTATGTTACACATCGTACCTATATCTCGGTAATATTTTTGGACTTACGGATGGTAATTCCTGGAAAAGACTGGGATTGGTTAGTCCTGGTATGTATATCTCATCGGCCATCGTCGTCGTTATCGCTATCGTCTCTTGAGGGTTTGATTGGTACTGCTGGTTTCGACGAAGACTGACATCATCCCTCCAGGACTTCCGTATTGGAGTATCCACACCACTACACTCCATCTGATCAGTGCAACCCATGTGTAGCACTCTTCAAGATGATGATGGCCTGAAGTTAATTGTGGAGTATTCTGGGGCATTTACATATGATCACATATTTTCAAACCAGAGTTGAAACGTATCCATTATAGTTAAAATTATTATAAAGCTTTGACTGAGGATTGATAACCTTACTCCAGAGTATTAACGCTCTTTCCAGTAAGGACGAGTCAAACACCCTGCAAATTAGTTCAATCGTGTCAAGATCCTGTATATATGTACAAGAAGCAATTAGGTTATAGTTTTCCTCAAGTTGGAAAGAATTCATCCCTGGGCCCTCGCAGGCCATTTGTGGGGAGATATCTGGACTTTTCTTTGTCTCATTCAAGATCTATATTATCCATCTTCTCAGATCGGACAAGAGTACAGTCTTGGGGGAGAAGTACTGCCGTTGGTGCACCATTTGCTTGCCCAGATCGGTTGAAATGAGTGGTATTGAGTAGAGTCAGGAGTAGTCCTCTGCGCAGTCTACATACTTGTCGTAGCATCTCCATATTCCTTGGACAGATGGAGATTTTTGAAGCCCCAGCTTCCTTAATTACCATCTGCTGTTTTCACCATTCAATTTCAGCTCATTCTCGTCTATCTAATATCTCGTCTTGGCAAAAGATACCACCGGAAATCTGTATAGTTATTTTCCGCTTAACATCAAGTCAAGACATGTTTTTGCTCCAAGTTCCATTGCTCGTCATAGTTGAGTTCAGTCAACTGCTTTTGTTCACACCAAACATACATCTGACCAAATTAATTTGTACATATAGACCTTTGTTATAATTGGCCCCATTTTCTCAATACCCATGGGACACGAAATGGCTGGAGAAGGATCTGCAAGCAGAGAAGCCCATGGAAAATGTCCTCCAGGGCCGCAAACTTATCAAGTGATTCATCCAAATATGGCACCCAATGGGGCATCCACCAGCTGGGAAATACACATTCATATTGGAGACCTTGTTGGAAGAACCGAAGAAGATCCAGTCAGATTGAACAGTCATCTTGAGCCTGAAAAATTGGCACTTTCTCAATCATCTATAAGCATTGCTGATGAAAACATAGCACATGGTATCACATATGCAAATCTACCTGATGCAGTCAATCAGGCCCCCAAAACCAGCCGTGAAAGGCAGGAACTCTTATTTCGACTTAATGTGGCAGCAGTATTGCCTGCTTTTATAGGCTTTGGATTTATTTTTACCAATATAAATACTTGTGATCCAATGTTATCATTTATGTGGGCTCTTTTTGGTTCTTTATACATCTATGCTGCTAACTATCTTGCAACTAAAATTGCAATGAAACAATGAAGAGATCTCCAATCAAACTCAGAACAAATGTATTTATTTTTAATTCTGTTGGGATTTTATGGCTCCTGGTATCCTACTTTGGTCTATTTGATAATTTTACGTTACAATTTATTATACAACACCAATGCAATAAATCAACATTGATTCTTATTCATACGGCGGCGTAGCCGCCCCAAGACACTGCTAGATTTATAAAGTATTCCACATCATGAAACAAAACTTTGGAGATACATAATAGAAGATGGGTCCTTTACCCTGTATCAAAGGATCACATTTGTTGTATCCACTTTTCCATGCTCAGAGGCCTCTTTGATTCAAAAAAAACATAGGATGGTTTGAGCCGGATTTCTAGAAGCATTTATCAAATCCATCTGATTGAAGCCAAGTTCAATGGCTTTCACCCAGAATAAATGGTGATAGAATTGTCCTTCAATTACGCAGCTCAACCATCAACATGTGTCCTTTGAAAACAAGGCATTTCACACGCAGTCATGCTGAGGTCTAAAAATTGTTAACCATCTGATGACATGCTACAATATCTAGGAGAAAGGATCCTCCAGTGTACATGTTGGAATTTCATCTCTTTTTCTTCTCATCCCTAAAAAACTCATCTATCCTACTGTTAAATTCAACATGATTTCATAAATAATTTACATGATTTTTTACTTTGTTTTTGATAGTTTCTGCGTGATATTTTGTTATGTTGTCTAGTGCTGCAATCCTTGTAGTCTTCGAACCCTGGTCTAGTCTTTATCAACTTACACTTATTCCAGACATCTTTTCAAGCATATGTTTATCTGTTTTATTCATTTTGATATTCATTTTTCTCAACCACATGTTTGACCTCTTGTACGTAGACTATTTAACGCGTAGTCTCCTCTAAGTAAAAAACACATTGGCTCTTACCCTCTTTTTCCGACACTTGAGTCTTTCCAACAAAAAGTCACTTTTTTGTTGCCCAAAAAATTTTCTCATCAAAGAAATTTCTCCGCCTCTCCGGCTAAAATTTCTTCAGTACAGACTTAACACAGCATCACAAGCCATTGGGAATAGGCCCAAGTGGGAATGGGAGATGCTATGCAGTGCTGCCCCCCGTTCCCGCCTACCATCGGTAGGCTCAAGTTGGGAAGTGCGGGGGTTCGTTGCCAACGGGGGCTGCTCGATCATATTGCATATGATATTCAATTTCCAGTCTCCGCAGCAGCATGCATACCACCGCCAATCAAAATTTCGAAAAACCCATGAGACAACTGGACAGGCAAGACCAAAATACCGGCAAAGGAAACGAAGGAAGACTTAACAACGAAGGGAGTGGAAAGATTGAACGAAGCAAGAAAAACAAAACTGCGATGACCAAGCCGAGCGGGACGCAAGGCAATCGGAAACGCTCGCTGAGCAAGTCGACCAAGAGAACGGCCGCGGAGACGGATGGACAGAGTCCCAACAAGTCGACGGCGGTGGTCGATAAGGATGACCTTCCGGCACGCCTGAATGCGGTTGTCAGTCTCGACCAAGCCGAGGAGGGGATCGGGGAGTTCGAGGACGCCTGGGAGGACGAGTTCGAGGATGAGATCGGCTCCGAGGGTCATAGCGTTCACTTCAATCCTGACGACGAGGAGGACGAGAACGAGGACGAGGATATCATCCCTGGGGATGGAAAAGAACTTGGACAGGACGAGGATGACGAACAGGATGGAATGGGTTGGTATTCTTTCTTATATACATAATATTTTTATATTTTTGCCTGATCGCTTGATGTGGGGAGCTCCATTAACATGACTTTATCTTTGGTATCCAGCCAAAGACCGCTCTCGATCTGCCTCTCCACAGGCATACCTACCCCACCTCCACGGAAACAAACTCGCGGAAGATGAGGAACTTGTTGCGGATCCGACGGCGTACAAGATGTTACATAGCTTATCATTGACATGGCCGGCGCTTTCTTTTGATGTGCTTCGGGATGACCTTGGCGAGCAACGGAGTCGTATGCCCCATTCGGCGTGTATCGTGGCGGGAACCCAAGCGGAGATGAGTGGGGACGTGGACCAGGATGAGATCATGATTATGAAGTGGGAAGGGCTGAGCCGGATGCGCAAGGACCCGACTCTGGAAGACGAGGACGAGGAAGAAGATGAAGAGGAAGACGAGGACGAAGTCGAGGAAGAGCCGACCCTTTCCTTCAGGACAATTCCCCACAAAGGCTCTGTCAACCGGGTCAAGGCCCAATCTTTGCCCACCCCGCTCTCCCTCCGACCGCCTCGACCTCCGGACAACTACTTTGCCGCTACCTTTTCCGGCACTGGAAAGGTGCACATCTTTGACATTGCACCTCAGCTATATGCGCTCCAATGTCCGGCCGATGCGGCCGATCAGCCGATGTCGAAGAAGCCGTTTCACACCATCAACAGCCACGGCCGGGCCGAAGGCTTCGCGCTCTCATGGGGTCCAGCCAACACTAATCAAACCGGTGGAGCCTCGTTACGACTCTTGACCGGTGACGTTCACTCCAAGATCTTCCTGACCACCTCCACCAAGGCCGGCTTCACCACCAATGCCACCCCTTACACCTCCCACACATCCTCAGTCGAGGATCTCCAATGGTCTCCCTCGGAGCCCACCGTCTTTGCTAGCTGCTCCGCCGATCAGAGTCTCAGGATCTGGGACATCCGCGTCAAGGAACGTAAGAACGTCCTCGGCGTCAGCAAGGCCCATCCCGCTGACGTCAATGTACTCAGTTGGAATCAGTCCACCTCTTACTTGATTGTCTCCGGTGGAGACGAAGGAGGGCTTAAAGTCTGGGATCTCAGGAACCTCCAATCGTTCGTTTATTTCTTCTTGAATTTTTTTTTTCTGCTTACAGCTCAACCTGGAACTCGAGTCGCTCCTTTTCATTTTTCCCTACCAACAAACGAACGAACTAACTGACTTATGGTAAAAAACAGGAAAAACAAACAAGAGAACAGACCGGTAGCCGATTTCCAATACCACAAGTCAGCAATCACCTCAGTCGAATGGAACGCACTAGAGGATTCATGTTTTGCGGCATCGAGTGCGGACGACCAGGTGACGTTGTGGGACCTGTCGGTGGAGGTGGATGCGGAGGAGAAAAAGACGATGGCTAAGGACAATGCTCAGCAACCGTTTCCAGACCAACTCCTCTTCTCGCATCAGGGCCAGAAAGAAATTAAGGAGGTTCATTGGCATCCTCAGATCCCTGGCTGCGTCATTAGTACCGCCCTGGACGGCTTGAACGTGTATGTCTCGCTTCATGCCCTTCCCTCTACTACTCTTTCTCCCGTTATTTTTGCCAACTGCTATAATGTATTCATCATGTTGCATTCTCTCATTTGTTTTATGTAGGTTCAAGACGATTTCGATTTGAAGGGAAAAGGAAATGGCATGTCAAATTTGTGGAGACTCGTTTTATTTTTCGGTGCTTTTTTTTTGAACTCTCCGTATTATCGCGTGCCTCTCTACTCTATGTGTTGTCTGTTCTACCATCTACAGACACCAAGAAAATACCACACCAAAAACGACCGTATCAAAAATCGCCCCGTTGTAGTCTTGTCTGTGGTAGTGCTTCATACTTAATCTAAAACGTATTACCTTTGGTAAATGTTCACATCCTCCCGAAATGTGTCGCTTACTGAAAACTAAGACAGACGTTGTTGACACGTGAGGACATGAGGCTAGGGTTATTGTGTCGATTGAAGAGGAAGTAGCCAAGCTGTAATGGCACAACCGGGGGATAGGCCAGTGTGAAGTGACAAACTGAACCAGGTATATCGAGCGCACTGCGTCCGGCGAGGTGTCCGAGACGAGAAGGCCAGGTCCTGGGTTCGAAGCCCGCTCTCCCGCAGGGGTCAGTGGGCTGCCCGGCTAAGTTGATCAGTGGCCGGGGACTTGTGCCTCGTGTCCAATCGTCTGAAAGGATGATTGTTGCGGTAATGGGTCACCCCAGCATCCGCGGGTGGTCAGCCTGGTTCCTTCTCTTCGTCCGGGTCGCTCCTTGTCTCAGTCTTCATCTCTGATGTGTAAGACGCTTGAGTATCTCAGTACCTTGTCTAAACCCTATCTTTTTGGTCTCATCTTGAGAAAGCACCATACAAAATAATTTTATGAAATGTTCTTTTTTTCTTTCAGTCAAACAAAAATGGAAGATTTACAACTTTCAGAGTACTCAAACGTGGAAAAAATCAATGTTTTTGGCAAGACATCTGGCAATCATGGTTTGAGAAGATTGTTGAAAAGAAAAGGATGCCATTGGACAACTTCCTGTCAACATCTGCGGGTCTCCCAGAGCTGGTTTAGAGCCTCAAAATTCAAATTTGCCTGCAAGAATTAAGAATTTTTGGGCCTAGATTGACCTCTGTGAGGGTCCCAGATCTGACGGGAAGTCCTCCATTCTTAACATTTGAGAAGAAGAATTGGGAAGGTAGAGGGGAATTTCATGCACAACATTGGGAAATAATGCTTGAAAAGAATGGATCTAAAAAACGGTACATACCTTGGGAAGTGATGCTTGAAAAAAACAGGTTGAGTTTCTGAAGGAAAATTGAAAAGGTTGCATCTGAATGGGCTAGTGTTTGAATCATCTGAAAAAATTGTTATGAATCTTTGCAATTTTCTACTTGGAAATTTGGCCTGCCCAAGAATGCATACCATGGACACCTTGTTAGGTGTGCCATGGACACCTCATTTGTACCATGGTCACATCTAAAGGTGTACCATGCACACCTCATTAGGTATATGGTCACATTAGGTGTACCAGCAATGGGTCTATACTATACTTTACTATAACTGGCCCTTTTCAGTATAGTAAAGTTTCTTCAAATTTCTGTTTAATATACCAATACTATAACCAGTGTGTTTCCCACCAAGCTTGGTATAGTATAGGCCACTTTTTTTGGCTCCAAAATTGCAATATATTGTAAGGGCCTTAGCTTTATCAACCATGAAGTGAACTCCAGAGAGCCCTTCTGTGGTCAAGAGACTCTCATAAGTAGCTGTAGATGTTTTTATCAGCATCCAGGGTAGTTTATAGTAGAGTAAATCACCCAAAAGAAATTCCTGTTCTCCTCAGTTATAGTAAAGGGCCCTGAAAATCAGACTATAACCACACCCTTTATAGTAAATTTGGAAATATATATACTATAACAATACTATACCAATAACTGTAAAGTATATACCCAGTGTTGGGTGTACCATGCACACCTCATTAGGTATATGGTTAGTGCTGGGTAATGTAGCAGAATTCTGCTAAGCTTTAGCATAGTATAGCAGAATTCTGTTGTGTCCACGCTAACACTACGCATGCAGGCCCTTAAAAAGTGCCTGCTACGCTGTGCTAAAGCGCTGATTGAAATTGAATTGTTTTTGGGCAGCTTCTAGCACAGCACACCACTAGATGGATTAAGGCTAGCACCTCGGGCTTTGGGTGGAGGGTCAAGCTCATCCCAGACCCCACATCCAAAACCAACTGGGTGGACACCAATCCACCAAGGTCAAGCTCTGAGTTTGATCAATTTTTAAAATATGGAAAGTCATGACCTAGGCACTTGTCAGTAAGTTGTGACTTCACTCTCCCTGCTTGCACACCACTCTACTTGTGCACTTGCAAATCTCCTGGGCTTGTAGATAGACACAGTTTGATTCATCATAGCACTTTTGAGGCACAAAAAATGGCCAAAAAAGCAATTTCAATGTCTCAAAAGGCCTTCCAAGGCTTCAATTTTAACCACCTGGGGCTTTGGAAGGTCTCCCAGACCCATCCCAACCACCTGACCCCAGGTGGTACCCCACCTGACCAGGTGGTACCCCACCTGACCAGGTGGTACCCCACCTGACCAGGTGGTACCTCTTGGGTGCCAGCCTTAAGATGGATGAGCCCGGGTTGCACTATCTAATGGAGAGCTCCTGGATGCAAATGGTACAGAATTCTGATCTTCTGGATTCTTGACAAACAATTGTGGTTGGTGAAAAAACAAAATGTCAAAATTGCAAATGAAAATTGTACCAGGTGCTATGGTACACCGTTGTAGTATGCCAATTGTGTTTCAAGTATCAAATTGCATAAAGTCACAGTCCAATATATAGAAGGGAATATACTCTTAGGCTTATTATGACATAATCACATTCTACGGGTCATTTAACCCATAGTCACTCACTGGAACCATTAGGCTAGCTCCACTCAGTCAAAAGTTATTTGGGATTTAAATTTTTTTGCATACAAAATGCTTATTGAATAATGTAAACCACAAGTTGGCCTTAGTTTTTTTACATATTCAACATTCATTGCATAGGGTAACCACAAGTTAGCCACATTGTTTGTAGGTACACTGAGAATCTTGTATAGGGCTAGAACCACAAGTTGGTCATTTATAGATTATTGGTTAGGGCTAGAACCACAAGTCAGCCAGGTCGTAAAATAGACTATTTAAGGAGGGGTTTTCCGCCCTCATTCCAATTTTTCATCATCCTCATCTGATCAGCAACCAGACAGAACAGAGCAATCAATCTACGCATTAGACAGAGTGATCTTAAGCAAGTGCCCCATTGAGACCATTCAGACCTTGAGAAGCAGAAGAAAAGGAAAGTAACAACCATTACAAACGTGTGCTCTTAAAAATAAGAGAAAGTGATCTTAAGCCATTGTGCTCTCTACCAAGATTAAGGAAGAAGGGAAAGACACTCTCAACAGTCACATTTCTTTCTTCAGTATTATCTCATAAATTCCCATTCATTATCAGTACATATGTCAATCATTTAAAAAAAATACATAAAACATGTAAAAAAACCTCTTACTCAACCATTCCACTCAAATAGTCTGCTGAATCCACGTTGATCTAGGTTTGATAAGAGACTGCTACACATAGATTTCTCTGTCATCAGTTTTTGCCACAACAACAAAATAAATTGTTGTGTTATCTCTTGTGTAGTACAATAGAGGGGCAGGTCTTTCAAACCAGACATAACAGTTGTAGTAGATCATTACATACGTGATATATCTCATCTGCTATTTCCCCCTCCCAGAACTGCCACCATTCCCAAAGGAGTTCTCACACCGTACAGGCCCTAATTTGTAGTTTCCTTTTTTTGTATCATTTATCTAGTGAATTTCAATTTTCAAGTTGATAGGTCAAGACACTCTGCCAATAATTTTCAAGGACAAAGATCAGGATGAAATCAGGTAAATCAAATCAATGTAACAGAAATTTAACGCAGTACATTTGCAGCACTGAGGTCTTCAACATTCCTTATTTCATTGATTGTGGTTGGATGAGCATGAGAAGAGGAAGATGACTTTCAATTTATCTTCTGTGTTTGTTTCTGTTTTAAAAATTTAGAAAATATAGGAAGTCTCTATGGTCTAGATGTTAATTTTTCACCATGACAATGGGTCCATTGATGTATGGAAGAATATTGATGAAAAAAGGTTGAGTAGTGAGGCAAATGTGTATGAAGGGAATATGACACTGGATCAAGAAGTGTTGAACCAGTTGATCATTAGTAGCTAATTTATCAAGAAGCCATACACCAAAAAAATTTGAATCATGAATGGCTCTTAGTCTCTTGCAGAGAAGCTTAATCTAAACCTAAATCCTCCTGAAACTGCATCTTGTATCACCTCTTGCTATACTCTCCTTCACCTAAAGCTGTGACACAGGTTTGTCCCCCCCCAAAGATTGGGACATCAGGATGGACCTTGTGGACACCCCAAACACCAAAGCAGAGAGTTTTTTTTTTCTTTGGAGAGGTTTGTAAGATAACATTTAATTAATAGTGGCCATGATGTGTATACAATCAACACTGGGCCACTACACTACGCTACGCTAAACAGCCCACTAACGTTAGTGCAGTGGCCCTCAAAACAGTGCACCAAAAATGTAGTTTTAGCACGCTGTTAGTGCCACTACGCTGCACTACAGCGCTTTTAACAGCAAAAAAGGCCCAAAAACTGCTAAAATACGCTGTAGCGCAGCGTAGTGGGCCCTTTTTTGCTGCCCACACTTGTAGTGTTAGCGCAGATTTGTGTATCTGCATTAACACTACGCTAAAATGCAGTGTATTTTTGCTACTCTACGGTTAGCATAGCTGGCCCAGTGTTGTTTCAATGGTTTTTCAATCAAGATAATCAACAAAATTGATGAAATTTCACAATAGGCCAGTGAGGATCAGGAAGGGGGGGATAATGAACTAAAACAACTCTTGAGAGATTCAAGTTAAAAACAAAGGTCAAAGAGCCCTAAAAGGGGGCTAAGACTGCTACCTTGCATGGGGGGGGGCATGCACATGCTTCAGAAGGCTGTATGCCATAGTCTCAGAGACCTTGGTGATCAGTCAAAGGAGAAATGATGAGTTGAATTTCTGTCTGAGCTTCAATATTTAAATGCTATTTACTACAGGGTCTTGTACAGAAAGTGAAAACAAAATGCATATGGAGCTGGAGAGGAAGAGGGAGTGAAACAAGTGACAGTTGGTGGGGAGAAAGGGTAGAAGAGGGAGGGACAGAGAGAGAAAGAGAGAGGATGATGTGAAAGTACAACAAAAATTTAGAAAACTTTGATTGGAGGGAGAAATCAGGACAGACATCAGAGAGAAAAAACATGACATTAGAGAGTCCAACAAGGAATGATAACACCATGTAATCTGGTCCCCAGAAAGGGTCTGGGGTCTGGGATGACCCACATTCCCACTCCTGGATCCCACCCTTACATTCTCCTCACCTAGTCTCTCCTTGTTGCACTTCGTTCCTTGTCTCCTCCAATCCATTCCCTGTCTATCGTTTCCCTTTCTGATCCCTAAAAACACATCCATTCCTCTTCCTAAACCACCCCAAATTTCTTTCCCCTATTCTAAAATTCACTCTATCCTCTCACACTCTCAAAATTGCTTTCGTCTCACTTTACCAATCTCTGATTCTTCATAAAATCTCTCTGTATCTCATTCTCTTTGACTCCTTCCCCTCCTTCTTCTCTTACTCATATCTCAACATATCCAGCCTCAACCATTTATTTTGTTGACTCTCCCTCAAAAAACTGAATCAACCAGGCTCTGCTATCTTCTCCTAACAATAGTGGCTGCACAACAGTTTGGTGAGAAGTGATCTATCATAGCTGAACAATTCAAACACAATTGAATTATTTCCTTTTTATTATCATTTTTTGATACATTGTTGTATGTTCTTCCTTTCTAGTCCATCAGTTTTACTTTCTATATTTAATTGTCATTTGAGGTATTCTGCTTTCCTATCTATTCTCTTGTTATTGGTTTTCCTTTGAACAACTGGACACATCTTTCAACTGTTACTGTAACTGGGTGGAATTAATAGCAAGCAAGCAAATACCCTTCAATCAATGATTGACACACACAATGTTTTTTCATTTGATCTTTGATTTGTTCTTGAAGGGCTTTTTTCATAAAAAAATGTCTATAATATTTCCATGTCATGCTTCATGAAAATGCAGATACATTATCTTTTTTTTTCTGTACCGTTTTTGACAGCCAATGATTACATATGGCAGACTTCAGGTTATGATTGTGGTTTAATGGAGTCAATTGTTGTGGTCAGGACTTAAGGCACATGATTGAGGAAAAAAGTAAGGACACTTTTTGGGTCGAAAGGTGAGTGCTGGCTTGTGATATCAAACCTCTCACTTGGGCACAAGGCTTCCCAGACTGGCCACAGAAGCTGATCCACTTGGCTTTACAGCCTGGCATGCTTTTGCTGATTGAGCTTGGGGGAGCAGCTGATGGAGCAGATTTTGTTGCTCTCCCTTACTTAAGCATGCACCAGCTTCATATCACCTGGTACTTTTCCTATATAAATACTTCGACACCCAACTCATTAGATTTCTCTGAGCCGCACACCTGTGAATGGCCGGCGTGACTCCTAGAACCACCCACATGGGTTTGGTTCTTACTGGTATCTTCCATTTCTTGAGCCTATAAGCCTCATCGCTGACCAAGCGCGACACTCCCTACGACCTCGACAGCGGAAACGGCCAAGGGCGAGGAGGAGGTACTTCTCCCCCGGCCATCACGCAAACGTGTCTTTTTTTGCTGTCGCCGAGTCAGCGGCAGGCTACGTAGCTGCATCGCCGGTGTCCTCTTGCATCTTGTGCTTGATCGGTGTTTTTAGGTATTGGATTTCGGAGAACCAAAGATGCTGACTGTGCGGCTATCGCAGCCTGTCGCCTGCCCAAAGTTGGCCTCGCCACAGGCTTTGTGGTGGCAAAGATTGCCTTTTTTTTATATTAATGTAGTACAGCTTTCACTAGAAGTCGGTGTATGAAAACGATCATTGTAAAATATCAAGACGTAAATGCCATACATACAAAGATCTTATCATCCAGCAGTTTGCTTTCCTTTGTTCAAAGAGAAGCTCATTGGAAAAAGGGTTTGTTTGGGTCCGTGCCGACTGACACTAGAGAGGTCGGCTGCCTGCGTACATAATAACTTTCAGAGCACCGCCAACTGAACGATAGTGAAGGAAGTTCAGAGACCGCTCCTTCGTTCTCGAGGTGTCCAGTGTCAACCTCGGACCCGTGTTCCTTACATCAAGGCTCGGATCGGAGTTCGACCCTAAGACTTCGACGCAGGTCAAGCAAGCTGTGCTGGTGACTGTTCATCATCAAGACAAGCTGAGCGGCGGTGCTGGCAATGCACGATGGAGGGAAGCACTGGAATCTAGGAAGCAACCGCAGAGACAACCCCAACCCACGGCAATATCAGCATCCTCAGACTCCAAAGGAAAAAGTCTATAAAAAGAGCCTCAGAAATCCTCCATGGCTGATCCAATCCCCATCCGCTCACACCATCTCAGCCTCAGCACTTCCTTTCCACCCTCGCCACCTGCAAAGCATCAATCCAAACTCGCCTCAACCCGCCACCAACCTCTTCAAAAATGCGATTCATCGTAGCCATCGCCGTAGCTCTTACCCCCCTGGTCAGCTCAATCGCTCTCCCAGTTTCACCCTTCATCAGTGGTCTCTACGGTCCGGGAAACGGAGGTCGGGCATCAGGCTTTGCTGTGCCCTACAACTATGGACCACACGGATCTAGCGCTTACCAGTACCAGACAGATTATGACCGTAACGGCAGAACGACCGTCGACTCACCTGGTTACCACTATGATCATCAATATGACGACAACGGTCACACCTCGGGCAGTGGATACACTTTTTTTAGCAAGGAGGCCAAACCCGACGCGACACTCGATGCCAAGAATGAAGCAAAGTAGGCGGTTAAGGATTGGCTCACCGTCATGGTAAGTTACTAACCGACACTTATACCCTTCTCTTCTCCAACTAACTTCGCTCCCGTCTTCCACCTCCCCTCACAGATAAAATCACACAGGACGGTCACATCGGCGCGCTTGTTCATTTTTCACTGGATTAAACCTGCTCTGCCGCACTCATATCTAGCTTTCTTTTGTCATTGAGTCTCTATAACGTCGTCACGATCCTGTCTACGCATTACTATCCCCTGTATTTCAATTGTTGTACTCGCACATCCGGACTTTTTTTCTGTTTCTTACTTGAAAATCCCGCTATGTTTAAGCCCACAGGCTATCCCCATGACTATGGCAATTTAGTAACGTGGACTTTTATCTTTACGTGTTCAGTTAAAGCGCATCAAAGCCCCTGGTGGTACCTTCCATTCCACTGAAAGGGACCATCAGACTTGTTAGGCTTAGAAGACTCTGAATATCCGCGTGGTAACACCGAAGCCTAAACTTTCCATGGGTAGCAAGCACAACCATCCCAAGAGTCTTTTGAAAAACAGATACTTTGAGCAAAATTGGAGAGTCGAGCTAAGATATGTATTTGTTGTCTCGATAAACGAGCTGATACATCACGGCTCAAAGAAAAAAAGAAATGCAGTTCGTCTGATACAAAATGTGGTTGAAAAAAGATTGATTTCCCCTAGTAGTATATCTATGTGACGAAACAAACGTCATTGGATCTTTTAGTGAGAGAGGTTGTTTTGGACTCCTCCGTGGTGGATCCTTGAGGGGATAAAGCATATATCACTCGTTAAATGATTGGGTTACGCGCAATCGAGTGTATTTATTTTGAATTATGCAACCGATAGATAGATTGTTTGTATGCTCCGTCTTTTTTCAAAGTCGATTGTTTTTGGCGATCTTGAATGACTCTTGGATTGATGTCGGAACGGATGAATTATAAGTGTGACTGATAATGATGTGACTTGTCTGCGGCTATTCACCCTGTAAGAATAAAAAAATGGATTCCATTGAGACTATCAATTGACAGCCTGGATTTTTGGGTGGGTTAGATGTACACATATATGTATAAGAGCTCACAATTGACGCGAAAAAACTGAGCCAATTTGACCTTTCGCATAGCCTTTCTGGCTGGTTTGAAATCGAAGAGCAACAAGAATTTGATAAGCCAGATGATCATCCTACGACGGACTCTGTTGTAAGATTTTCGGATTGATTTGTATATTTTCCTCCAGCGTTTTCTGTTACACTTCTGCTTCGAGTCCAGAGATCGTTTGTGTAGCCTATTATCCGTGGCCGTTCTTGGTGGCCGAGCGGAGCTTGGAGCTAGTAGTTGACATTGGATGAGGTCATCGAGTAGTCTTGCGTCTTCATCCTCCTCCTCAGTCTTTGATGCCGATGCCGATGCCTTGGACGTCTTCGATGGATAATATTCATCCCCGTTGACGGCTCGGATCTCATCGGTCCGGGTGGTTTTCTCGACTGTCATTGGATGGCAGTTGGAGTTGAGTAAAGAGTGAGATTGGGGATTCTGTTGGAAGGCCGGTCGTTCGGGCCATGGAGGTCGGGCCGCTGACTTGGTAAACGAGGATTCGAGCGACCTGGGATCCGCGTGTGTTGAGGTAAATACCGAGTGTACTGGGTCTTGGAGAGTTGCGTCGATGGCCAAGCTGTTCGTGATGAGAAAAGTGAGGAAGAAGATCCGTCGCCAGCATGGGCTACCTTCCGACTTCATTTCTTCGTGAGCCCTCTCAGTTGTGTGGTGCGGGGATGGTTCGCCAGCGAATCAAGCTTATAATACGGAGACTATCCAGCCTTAACCTATATGTGCTATAAAACGTTTGGGCGAGAAGTCATACCTCGACCTGAAGCACGTTTCAAGACGATTACTGAGTGAGGCGAGTCCTGGTGAGTCTAGACGACCATGTGGAATTCAGGCACTCCAAGTCTGTCTCCATTTTGGTTTTTGGAACCGATTATAAATAAGTGGATTGAGCATTTTGACGATTGTTTGTGTTGAAACTTATGTATCAGAACTTGCAATTGCTATTGGATCATGCGGCACTTACATTTTCAATCTCAGCCGGAAGCTATCGTGTTGCTTTTCCTATGAGGTGATCCCGCGGTTGGCTCAGGCTGGGAGATTTTTTTCCTTCACATAACAATTTCCCCCTTGGGGCTGCATGGTCTTGGGGTCTTCAATTTTAACGCAGCCAAGTAAGCATCGGGATATCTTGCAGGGTAAGCCGTTGGTGGCGTTCAGTTACACTTAGCCAATGTCTGCATGCCATGCTGCAGTCGTTGAGCAGAAATAATGAGACGCGATGGCCTGGTGATGGGACGATCCTTACAATCTCCATTGTCTTGAATCTGCAAACTCAGCTCAATCACCGCGACAAGTAATTGGGGGAGGAATGCTGTGGGTCTAGTTCCTCGCCAGCTCTCCAGATTCGAGAATCGGGACCACCAATGTGGCCACAGTTTAGTTACGAAACTCTTAAGAGGCTTTCTGACTAGGAAGTGAACAGTTTTGCGGTTCGCCGTGCGTATAAGCTCATCTGTGACGACGCGCTTCGCATGCTCAGCCTGCAGGAACCGCTCTATGCTGAGTTGATGCACATGGAAAATTTGGATCTACTGAGGACGGAAATTTGTAGAATGCTCAGTTGTTGTTCTCCGCTGTCGCGACTTGAACTTATAAAACGTCTTGTGGCAAAATAAACTTCTTCGCTTCTTCGCCCCACAGTGAACCTTCATCGCGACCTATCGCAACAAGAGGCATCATCTTCCTTACATACAACGTATTAAAGTGTGTATAGCTTACTCCCCAGGGCATTCTTCTACATAACTTCCGTCGCCATTTCTACATTCTGCCTCCCGTCTCTAAATAGTCAGCTTGCCATCGGTACGAGTACATAATACATAAATAAAATTCGGACAAGGTTGGTTTCTGTTGGTTTTGTATGTCAAGCTAGTGTCTACATCAGGCTAACCAAATGTTGGTACATTTTTCTCCTTTCCCCCTTTTACAATTATTCCCTCGTCCCAGGCTCCAGTTGTCCAACCCCACGTGTCCCATCTTAGGTTATCACGTCACATTTACACATTCATCTACATTCAATTCACCTTATAAGACTTTACGCAGCTCGAAAAACAGCTCTTCTATCCGAACGTTTGAGTCTTTAACCCCACTCAAGTCGGACATCTTCTTCGAACAACCGCGATCGAAATAACCCTCGAGCTCCGATGTCAGCACTAGCTATACCGACAACTGATGATGATTTGAGCCAGATGCTCAAAGAAAACTTTGGATGGTGCTGGCCACCATATCTTTTTCAACAAGAGCCACCCAATTCATCTCCGGTGAATCTGCCTCATCCCGTCCTTAGTTATTTCAGGCAATTGGATCCAGATAATCAACAGCAGTTGTTGAGGTTCAATGACGATAAGCGAACTACAAGAAATGTTGAAGAACTGGAAGAGATTTACAGAAGAACTTGGACAATCAGATGGGTATTTCTAGAAACGATCAACAGACTAAACGCGAATGATTTCATCGATGACTCGCCGACATCCCCTCAATTTTACGATGATAACAATTCGAGCGAGTTGTTTTGGTTGAGGCTAATGGATTTGTTGATGACGAAGCAGAAAATCAGTTCAAATTCCAGTGATCCATCAAAAGAATGCAAGAAAAAGGAAGATTATCCAGTCCATATCAACTTCATACCTTGTCACCCATTGCAATCAGATCGCCCAATTCCTGTGAATCGCCACGTCCAAGTCGAATCCATAAAACGCGTCAACGTGCCGGACGATCGACCGCGTTATTGGACCGTAGGTTTTCAAGACACGACTTCCAACAATCCTAAATTACACGATCTCTGTTTTAAAAGAAAAAATCCGTTCCCAAACATCATGATTTCAAATCATATCGACAGATTAGGCCACATTTGGATTGAAAAATCACGCGACGAAGATGGAAAAACTGATTTTCCAACCAAGAAGTATAGGGTTTTATTTCAAAAGACTTGTTCCGATCTCGATCTTGGTTTGTTTCTTTGGCCCCAATTCCATGTCAAGAAAATCGAAAAAGCTCTTAATCTGGGGAAACAGTCCAACTTCGTACCGGACACGCCCAAGATACCGATTTATCAAGATAACATTATTGAAGTGTGTTTACCCTTGTTTTCTAATCCTATCTCTTGTTAAACGCGTGAGAAATCCCTCATATGTTGGACCTTTTTCTACGTAGCTCTGCGATCAGGATCGACTACTATTGTTTACAACCGAATATAGATCCCATAGAGTTTTCATCGACCTTCAAATATCGGTAGAATTCTGCTGGGCTAGTGATTGCGATGAGGCCGAGAAACGAGGAGACTTGAAAGAAAATGAAGGGGAAAATAAGTGTGAACCCCTGCCAGAAAGTTCGGTGTGGATTGATAATCTTCTACAGTGGCCGAACCCTTGTGAACGGTATGTTTTTATGACGATTGGACATTGCTTTTTTTCAAGAATTCATACAAAGAATCACCAGACGGACGTTCTCTCACCCACTATCTAACTCTTCTTTCTTTCTTCCCTCAACTGCTCCTGACTTATGATTCCGCCTTGGAATTTCGCTTACTTCCGACGTGTTTGTTTTAGCTATTCACACTACGTCAAAGTTCCCAGTTCGTATCCCGACTTTGATGTAATTGACGAAGGACAAGATGTGCAGCAAGCCACTCCAAGTGGAATTGTAATAAGCCACACGGATGAGCAGGAATCACCAGAACAGATAACAATCGCACAAACTATGGAACCGATGGAGACCAACCGAGACACTTCAAGCAACGCGTGTCTGTTCAAATCGACAAAAACCATCAAAAACCAGACCAAGTGCAAAGACAAAGCTGAGCAGACGCCAACCGCAACTACACACGGCTTATTAGGCCCTACTCAAGTCAAATATTTAACCGTCGATTCCTCAGAAAATCCACTCATCTGCAACTCCGATCCGGCATTCTCACCTCGCAAGATAAAAATTCTAGGTGATAAATATCAAGATTCCCAAACCAATTCACTTGCTGGCGAAAAAGAAATACCAGAAAAACAAATACAACAACGATTGAAATCGACCTTGCGACAAGGAAAGGAGAATAATTCAAATGAATCAAAGAAACTCAATTCAAAAGGGAAATCCTCAGGTAATGATAAATCAGTTAAAAGAAAATCTCCTCGATTAATCGAAATGTCACACTCTCATAATCAGCAATTATCAACTTCTAAAAGAAAAAGAATTTGATCTGCTTGTTGTACCTTTTATACTTTCCACTTTTTTCTTGTTTCCATATTTTTATTCCCTTGGGCATTGGATCCATGACTCAATGAAGGCTTTTTGAATTTTATTCATGCCAAATTTATAAATACTTGACAAAGTATTTATTAAGGTACATGTGCACTTGTTATATTGATTTTACACGAGTCTAGCAATTTAAAATATCACTCAACTTGCTAAGTTCCTCTATTAGATTGAAACCATGACTGGGCTTGTTCAAATTCACTTAAAATTCACATAACCCCCCACACACAAAAAAAGGTCAAAGAAGCCCCCACATGCCATCAATACAACCAAAAATTTTTATTTGGTTTTATTGAAGGAGTCATGTAGTCATACATAACTTGGTTTCAGCCAGGTAAAATTAGTAATTTTTAAGGTTGTGTTCCAACCAAAATGCCCTTCCAGATTAATCCAGGTTCAGGTCCTAACAGTAGCTATGTGCCTGCCAAGTCCCTTCTATTCATTTGACTTGATTTATTCCTTTCATAGCCAAGATGCTCAATACCACCTCTTGTCCTTCAGATACAGGCACCTGTTGCTGGTCATAGTCAAATGAACATCCAAGTCATTGGCACATGTGCACATTAGAGATGGCCTCTTTGCATCTGGATATCCAGCTCCTTTTTCTAGGGAAACAGCCACCCGCACCCTCATCCGCTACATAAGATAAACATTACATAATCATCAGTCTTCTTCTCAATGAGATCATCTCAGATTTCTGACATCAATGGATCTCTCTCTTGGCTGAACTCACTCGCTCCTTCCTCCCTATGAATCCACAAAATCTTTTTCCTCATCTTGTTAAGCTTGAGACAACGCTGCCACAGATACGGTATCTGCCCGTATCTGCCATGTATCACTATGTATCTGAGCCCCAATAAAAAAAAACTATCTGACCAATCTGCTTTTATTTGCAAGGAGATTCAACAAATTTGGTTTTTGGCCATTCAGCTTTGCAGAATTCTCCATGATACACACAGCGTATCGTATCTGTGGCAGCGTTGCTTGAGATCTTCAACTCACATTCTTATTGGGTTATCTTAAGACCCCTACACTTTTTTTTAACTGCAGAGTCATTGCTACATATCTACATTCTCACATCATAATGTTTTTCCTTTGTTGTGAAACTACTTGACCATAACATCATCTTTGATCATCATCTTCCTTCACAAACTCACATGCTTCCCCTTCTATTTGGCCTTCCGCCAACCTAAGCACTTCCAAGTATCTTCCCTGTCATTGTAGGCTATTGATTCAATCTTCTGTCTTGTTGACTCAATTGAATCTCAAATAACACCCCTTATGATTTATCTATTCTTTCTCTTCTCTTTATCATTTATTTTGCTGCGTCCCTTGTATTGTTGCTCCTGCCTTAAGGTACCTTTTTTATTTCATTACATTATTATTCTTATTTCCTATTGTATTTCATTATTATCATTACGGATCTGAAATACACTCTTAAGTTTGATACTTAACAAATACCATTCAGAGCATCATTATCGGTCGCTAAGTTAGCTTGAGTTAAGCCACTTACCACCGAATTTCAACCGCACCGGACCGAGCTAAGTTGGTGATAACTTGCCTCGATGGTCCGTTTTCAGCTAACCGTTGGTAACTGTAGCAATGGTTACCAACGTAGTTAGCGAGTGCGATCACTCCAACTTGGAGTCCACCCGCCCACACTACACACCACCACTTCAAATCACACCCGGCAAACTACACCGGTGCGACTGGATGGGGGTTGATAAGTTAACTTGCCAATTCATGCGAGTTAAAACTCGCGTCAACTTATCGAACCGATAATGATGCTCTCACACAGTTTATTTGTCCAGATCTCTACATACTTCTCCAGTTGTTGCATCAATTTATTGCACATCTTGGGCAGCTCTTTCCTGCTAACTAAGCATGGAAAGCAGACCTGTAAAAGATGAGCATTGCTAGAATCATATTCTAGCATCTAATCTTTTCTTGGTTTGGGTAATTAACCAAGTTTTGGATACAAATCCTTGATTCCTAAAACATGAATCCAAAATTTGTAAAGAAGGTGAGATCAATATAATTGTAATCATTCTACAATAACCTGGGGTAGTAACACTAATGAAAATTAAAAGAGAAAGCATTCAACAACAAATAAAAATGAGAGTTATGAAATGATAATTATCAGAATTTACTTGATAATTTAAATGACTAGATCAGGGTTCAGACTATGACCTAGAGAATTAGAACAGATGAACAATTAAGACAGATTGAAAAAGAAAAATAGAATTATAAACACCAATATATGACAAACATAGAGACAAAAAGAAATGAACTTGATGCATGATGTACATGAGTGGACCATTATTTTAATTCTTGGCACCTCATTTATGGTATTCAAAGTTAAATATACAAAACGTTTTGCATGCTTATTTCACAAATGATCAAATCTTGCTGGAAGAGAATCTTGACAACCCAATTACGTAATCTGAAGGTTTGCCATCAAACAAGATTTGATTATTTATGAAATATACATGCATGATGGTTTGCATATTTAACTCTGAACACCATAATTGTAGTTTTTAAGGGTAGGATAGATGTGGAACAATTTCCTGCATCTACCCAAGTGTGAGTGGTTGGCAATATTAAATTCAGATATCTTAGACTTAATGTTTATCAATTTCATTTACTTTCACTTTATTCTGATTTGAATCCAATGGACCAAAGGAAGATAGCCAATTTATTTTCAAAACTTCGTTTTTATTTCTTTAGAAAGGAGATAGGTTTGGAAAAAAAGCCCCATGATAAACCTAGCTCTAAGGATGGGAGGGAGGTGTCTGAAAAAACTATTCCAGTTTGTTTGTAATAAAGGTAGGATCTTAGTTAAACAACTCCCAGAAATTGGAGTTCCAACTCCCAAATTTCTGGGACGTCAAGAGGACCGTCTGCGGACAGTCCTCAGTACGTCCATGGGAGTGGGACCTCCAAAACCTTCAAAGGGTTTGGGAGTTGTTCCCCTTATAAAAAACATCAAAAATAAATAAAAAAGGGTCCGCCTTTTTGCACACCAAGAAAAACCCCCGCGCACACCAAAAAGGTGTATGTGAGTGTGCACTCCACGTTACTTGGTGTACACCATGGTGCACTCCACAAATTTTGGAGTCGGAGCCCATGTACTCCAACCTCCTTTTTGGAGCAGTGATCTGCGGATTGCACTGGTGGCCACTCCAATGACCTCTGAATAGTTAATCATTTAAAACAACTTACCCTTTTATTGTTCACATCAACCGTCCATTGAGCTCTGTTACCGACGATACGGTGTTTGGTTCATTGCCTAATGTCCTCTAATTCTTGTTCTTCTCTTCACTTCCTCATGATCATCTGCTAGGACATCAATCATCACACCAATTGCGCGATGACAACCGGCCACGTCACAGATCTCGCTCCCCTCATTGGTTAGTCATTTTTTGCCCCTTCTCTGTTGTTGTTGCCATTCCTGCTGGATATTTCCAAGCTCACATGCATTTTACATGAATTTCTCAATAGGGAAGAAAGGTGTCAACGGGATGATGATCCAGAACGGACTGCACAGCGCGGTAGCCGTTATGCTGAATGCAGAAGTCGATATTGATATGATGAACGCAACCGCAACTGTAGTGCAAGAGACCATGGGCTTGACCGCGGTAGGGACAGAGATTGTGATTTTGCCATAGATCAAGATATGATGACTGGGATCAAGATCAAGGCCGCAACTTGGAGTGAAGCTCTGTGCACTCCAAATAATTTGGAGTGAGCAGGTTTTGCACCCCTATAAATACCTGGGAAGTAACATCTTGTGCACTACAAGAAACCAGAAACCTGGAGTACACAACCATTCACACCAGGTTTCTTGGAGTGCACAACTATGTACTCCAAAAAACCGTGCTGTGCTCATTTTGGTTTGCACACCAAGAAATTTTGGAGTGCCCGGAAGTGCACTCCTTTTTTGGTGTGCGCGGGGGTTTTTCTTGGAGTGCAAAAAGGCTGACCCATAAAAAAATGAAAAAAAATAAAACCCCTGGGGGTTTTTGGGAGTAGATCCGCCACAAACCCCAGGGGGGTTGGGAGTCGGCGCCGGGAAGATGCCTTCAACAGCCAAGAGGGATTCCTCTTGGCTGCTGAGAGTGTATGACTCTTGGCGGCCAAGAGGGATTCCTCTTGTGTCAGCCTACGTGATGCCAAGATATAAAATCTTCTAGCTACACGTTGTAAAGCTCAAAAGTGTTTGTGAAAACCTTTTGCTGAGTGTGGAAAGGGATGAATGAGGATACCTCTGCCTTTCCTGGATCACTAGACACTAGACAAGCCCACCAATCTCAGATTGGAAGGTTTAATAAAGTGATAGTGGAGTGTATCAAAAGATAACTGTGGCTTAACAGGTGGACAAAGGGTTTAACCCAGTTTTATAAGGGTCTAAAGGTTGATTTGAGAGTGAGAGAGTGAGTCTAGCTGATATTTCAATGGTAAGGGGATGGTATGTAATGGTATGTAAGGGTTTGTAAGGGTAGGGGGTATGAAATAGGTGGATACTAAACTGAGGGGAAAACAACTGAGAGGAGAGCCTCTTAAATACACAAAGGTGAGGGATTTTAGCTTCAGGGGAACAAGAGAATGAGAGATTTTAGCTGGCCAGAGCTTTACAATGAGGGGATTTAGCTAGTCAGAACATGTACATGAGGTATTTTGGCTGGTTGAGCAACCTACATGATGTCATAAGAGTTATTTTAGCTGGAACTAGAAGTCTACATGAGGGTTTTATGCTGGTGAAGCATTTTACATGAGGTGATGTACTAGTCTGCAAGCTAAGGTGATGTGATGAGTAATACATGAGTGATGTGAGATAGTCTGACAGCTGCAAGGAAGATTAACAAGTGACCTAGCAACAGGACCAGCCTAACAGCTACATATAGCAAGTGTCAGAAGATAGTGTAGTTGTGTGTATACCAGTACTATAATGATGTGAGTATGTAGTTGTCCTGCAACGTGCATGTGTGTAGTGTGAATGATGTAATTTGTTGTTGGTGTTGAGTGTTGAAGTGTTGTCATGGTGGTGAGTTGTGTAATTGAGTGTGGTGATGGTCCAGAGAGTGTTAGCTTCCAATCCAGTTGGGTTCCAGTGACGCCTCCAGTGGTGACCAAGGGTGAAATTGACCATAGAATCCAATTCTTGAGCCATAATGGTTGATTTGTGAGTGTATATATGAGAAAAAAGGTGTAAAAAGTATGCAATTTGTAATAAAAGAAAAACTGTAAAATTTTTAAATGGCCCAGATGGCTACCCTTAAGGTATACCACATCCTCCCCCAACTTATTGTCTGTCCCCAGACAATTCCGCCAAAAAACTTCCCGCCAGGGTGCCGTGGAATTAGCCGTGTTGAGTTGTCCATTGTGTTGTGTAAATTTACAGTAGCAAGTCCTTACTTCCACCTTTGAGTCTGGTGTTTTCAGTTTTCTTGCTAAAAAAGCATGGGCCACAAAAGTCCCCCCTTACCTTGGAAATTTAAAAGAAAGGGGGTTATTTGGGTTTTTTTTTTTTTTTTTTTTTTTTTTTTTTTTTTTTTTTTTTTAAGAGAGTGAGTGCGCAGCGCGCAGTCCGCAGTCCGCAGTCCGCAGTCGCAGTCCGCAGTCCGCAGTAGGTGACGTCGAGTAGTCGTATCGTACGCAGCAGCTTACTTAATCCTTTGAGGTCGCGCTCGAGTTCAGAATTGGGGGTTCGGGTTTTCTAGTACCCGTCCCGATCCCCGCGCGCCCTGTGCTCTGTGCCCCAGGCCGTGTGCGCTGTTCCGAACCGGGGTTCAAGTGCCCACGGCCCTGGATATGTCTGAGTACATACCAGGCAACCGGCACCATTACATCCCTCACGAATACAACTTCCGACACCTTCCCGTCTTCGAATCGGATTGACCGTCAAGATCCTCGGTCAAAAAACCTCGTAAGTAATTTGTTTTTCTTCGTTGTACGTTTGTGATCCTTAGCGTCCTCTGTAAGTTGTTACTGATTAGACCGTCCTGTCAAACCAACCGACTAAGAAGAATGCTTCAATTGAAGTTCCTTCCGCCATCCAAACACCGTCGCCGAGGCCGGTCCTTCATTCCCTACTTGGGTTCCGTCTGTCGTGTTTCCACCACTGGCCGGTTGAAGAACTACGCTAGCCGTGGATCCGTGTCAAGTCTAGATGCCTATCGCTGGCACTTGGTTCCCAAAAAAGCCTCAGGTCCCTCTTTTCCGTTTGCCCAGGTCGGTTTTAGGTCGGTTTTATCCTATCATCAAGCCGGTGGGGGGCATCCAAACCAACGCGGTCGTGGTAAGATGAAAGTACAGGCTATCTCTTCCTTCAATATAAAGGTGAGATCCTCTGTTCCTTTTCTTCCTTCATCAGACTCCGTTCACCATTAGTAGTCTGTGTTTTGTGTCACACTTCGTAGTAATAGTTAGTTGCAGTTGTTGTCGTGTTACAGTATTTTAATAAGTAGAATACTAAAACAATCCGCTTTATCTGTTGGTCGTTTGCTACTGTAGATTGAAGACATGCGTCCATCTCCTCCCTCAACCGATCCGAGTCCTGGAACGTACCACTCTTACCCCATGTCCACCCCTCCCACTACCAATACTGGTGTGGGCATGAATGTCCCTGAGCCGAGAGCTCCTCATTTTCAGCCGCCCCCTTATCGTCTTAATCCGCCTCGCTTCCCTCATCCAATTTTTTTCCCGCACCCCCCTATGTTTCACCCTCCTGGTCAAGCTTTCCCCCCCTTCGGTCAAGGAGGGGGTCCACGCGGTCGAGGTTTTGTTGGCGGCAGAGGTGGAGGCCGTGGAGTTGGTCGCGGTCGTGGTTGGCTCCCACCTGCCCAGCTCCGGATTCGAGGTCAGGCTAACCGGTTCTATTACCCCAACGGTCCAGCCGCTGGGGTGCTGTTTGGTCACGGTCATGCGCCGGTAAGCTCGAGTACTTTTCGCCCATCTATCCTTGTTTAGCGAGATACTAATATCGATTTGTTGTTTTATCTAAGTTGTTTAATTCTAACCGTGCCCAGGTCGACATGGACAACTTCTTGCATCAACACCCGATTCCGCCTGCGGTTCAACGCCGTCCAACTCCAATTCCGCCTGTTGTTCAACGCCAACCGACTCCGATTTCGGTTCCATCATCGCCTAGCGTTCCTGCAGCTCGTGCAGCTTGGGCTCCTAGCAACCTCAGCTCTATCCAATCCGGCGACAGCTTTCACACCGCCGAGGATTTTCTAGCACCTCAAGTTCGAGTCGAGTCGCCAACTCCTGCCGGTATGTATGATCCCGACGACTATCATCTTCTGGCTCGTCATCAGATCGAATCCTTGCTAGACCGCCGTGCAGCGCCCGAGCGCTTTGATAGGTATGAATTTACCCCTCAGCACTTCGACAATTTTTACCAGTCAGCTACTTCGGCTCTAGTCCATCATTGGACCCGTCATCCCGCCGCCAACGCCAATGAACGCCAAGATCGGGTTCGCCTCTTTCAGTTCATCACTCGTCGCTACCGTACCCAGACTCGCCGGGTCGTGTAGGATGTAAGTTGTTTCGTTGATTTGTTTTCCTTGGTTGATTGGTTGCTGATGAGGTTGTTGCCCTTTCCTATGATATCTAGACCTGCTTCACCGGAACCAGTTCTGCTGCCTGAAGATCATGGACAGCCAATCTCCTAGGGGTAAAAAAGTATTAAAACCAAAAAATCGATAGATAATTTTCTTTAACTCTAAAAAAAAGTATAAAACTTTCTTAAAGCCCAAAAAAAATTGAGTATAAACTAAAATTCAAAAAAAAATTTCTAGTCTCAGCCCTTAACTTTTTTTGTTTTAGCTTCCACTTATCTTAGCTTCTACTGCCTGCTGCTATCAATGAAAGCCCAAACCCCTCCCCCAACTTAAAAAAAAGGTTGTCCCCAACCTAAACTAAGTGAGAGAAGTAAGTGAGGTTGCCAAAAGGAAGTGCAGTGAGAGCATAAGTGAGTAAAAGAAATTGAGGGATCTTCAAGCCAGTGAAGACCTAACTGAGAAGAAAGAAATGAAGAGAAAAAAAGATATGAAAGAAGATGAGTGTTTTGGGATCCTCCCCCAACTTAAATAATATTAATCCCCATATCAACAAGTACAGGTGAGTTTCCTCCCCCAACTTAAAGATTTGAAGCCAGCAATGCTAAATATTTTTTTTTTTCTGGTTGTTTTTAGGTATTGTTTTGAATGCTTTTCTGGTGTTTTATGGGTTTTCTGAGTTGTTGAAGTTAGACAAGGAAACATATAGGTACCAAAAAAAAAGAAATCTATGAGAAAAAAGAAGATTGAAATAATTTTTCATAATATTTTGTGCTTTTTATGTATGTTTTTGTGTTTTTAATGGGTTTTTCATCAATTTTTCTTAGGGTTTTTTTTGGCATTTTCTGTGAGAAACAGTGAAATTGAAAAGAAAATATTGATTAAAGCTTCAAGTACTAATATTTTTGACTTCTTTTGTTAATTTGAGAGGTCTTGAACAGTTTAGTCTCGTGCCCAGGAGGTAGCTGAATTTAATTTGAACTATTTCCGTCCGAGCCGTTGGAATCTTCCTCATGATCAGAGCTGTTTTGACTCTCATCATCATTACTTCCAATTTCTGGGTCTTCTTCGTCGTCCTTGATCTCGTCCAGCCGTCGTCCTCGAGG